AGGTTGCATTTTGTTCCTTCTCGTCATTTGTGTAGCACTGTCTTCTGCCCTTTGTTGTAGATCTTTGCTGTAGTGGAAGCAGCCACTTAAACAACTGAGCTAAGGCCAGGCCCCCCTCTTTGCTGTAGTTATAACCTTCACATGTACTGAAGTTCAGGTGGAGCTCTACAGAGTTTGGATTTATCCAGCTGTGTCTGGCTTAGGTCTGGCTGCTGTGCTCAGCTCCTTCCTGCTGCGGATCTGCGCTAGGACTGGGTCTGGGGGTTCCCGGAACTCGGCAGAAATTCCTACTTGCGGGGAGGGGTGGGCAAGGTATGGCGGAGTGGTGGGGGGTGGCCCAAGGGAGTGGGAGAGGGTCTGGCCCACGCTGCGCCTGGGCTGGGACTGGTCCCGCTGGCGCAGGGTAGCAGGAAGCTCTCCACACACTCACCGGACCTGGCCTAGGACTGGGTCTGCGTTAATTTCTAATAGATCTTTTTAGTTCTGTTTGAGCAGGCAGGGACTGCAGTCAAAGATTTCTTTATAGGAAACTTTTTTTAATAACATGGTAATTTGTCAAGAGCAGTGCATTGGGGTTACAGGAAGAGATTAATCTCATGTTCCTCTTTTTTTCTGTGGTCCTGGAGTTCAACTTCAAGGCCTTATGGGTGCTAGGCAAGCACTCTTCCACTAAACTGCATCCCCAACCCTTTTAAATTTAATTTTGAGATAGGGTTTCGAATTTGCCATCTTGTTGTGTGACCTAGAATGAAAATGGCCCTGTGGTGGTCAGAGTGGAGTCAGCTTGATTAGCTTCAGGAAGTGCTCGAGAGACAGTATAGTGCACTACGGGGTGTGCCTGGATGGGTCTTGGAGGGGAAGCATTGGGATCCAGGTCAGGTCCTTTCTCACTTGGCTGTTCCCCTGCTCTGCTTCCACCCTATAATGAAATATTGATCTTTACCCCATGACACCTTTCTTCCATGTGTGCTGGAGCCTTCTGATCATACAGTGAATCCCCAGACACAGTGAACCAAACTAAACCTCTGCTCCTCCTCTAAGTTGTGAGTGTCTTGGTGATAGAAAATACAGACTTGTGCTGAGACAGATGACAAACAGAGTTGGTTTGTATGGAAATAATCATAAAGTTGTTATAACCATAATGTTGTCATAACGAAGGTCCTCTAAAGATTAGTTTTTGTGTTTTTTTTTTAATGTTTCCTTTATTTATTTTTTCCTTTTTTATGGTCAGCTCAGCTCACCCTGGGGGTGGGGCTGGCATGGCATGTGGCACTGGGATCGAACCGAGGTCCCTGCATGCTTACCTAAGCTTGCCTAAGTAGGCTCTTTAGACCACTGAGCTATCTCACCAGCCCCTAAAGGTTAGTTCTAAATAACCAGTGATCACTGGATGTTCATTGTTCCTATTCTCTGCTTGTCAAAAGAACACATGAGGCCCTGAAGGTAAGGCTGAGCCATTGCAGTTTCCTGGTACTGGTAGTAAGGGCCTAGTAAGCCTATGTTGAGTAAGTGAGTGAACTGTCCAGTGGATAATAAAAAGTAATCCATCTGTGTGTAGTAGATAAAAGAAAGTTTTTACCCAAAATAAACCCCCAAATGCTTAAATTTTCTGAGTATCACAAATGTAGCATTTTTGGTTCAATAGCCTATATTTACATAGGATGCTTTTTTAGAACACTATACAATAAAAGAGTATATAATTTTGTTGCAACTTTGTACAAAGTAGCTAAAGGTTTTGGTCAAAATTACTGTAGGACAATGATTATATAAATCACAGAACTAAACAATGCAATCATTTACAGCTATTTAAAAATTTTGAATGAATCTTCTCGATGCCTCTGAAGCATGTTTGCTGCTGTTACTTCATTTCACTTGATAAATAAACTAATTTACTCAACCCCATCTGCAGGTAGGGTCTGTAGCAAATGAAAAACTCCTAGCTATCCTGCCATATTTAAGAAACACCTGAAATATTTTCTTTTTTTTTTTTTTTTTTTTACCATGCCACGAGATGTGTTTTATTTTCATTTAACATACAAATAATTTTCTATAATATCCCAGGGCAAACTGGAGAATTTGGCAGTCCGATTTGGGGGGTCCCCTCAGAGACCCACGGGCCGGTGGCATGGCGCGGAATGCCCGGGTTCACAGTGCAGCTTGTGGCTCGTGTCCATCTTGCAAGTGGCTCTTCTTCCACATCATGACTGGGGGGTCTCGAAGATGACGGGGGCGGGGAATTGTCTGGGCTCTTAGGAAATCTCACTCCGCTTTCCCTGCTCAATGGTCTCTTTGGTCGGCAGGGTGTTCTCCTGCGTCTCCATCTTCTTCAGCTTGGCCTTATCGAAGCTGGCAATTTCCCCCATGTCTGGTTTGTCTGCCATTTTCTTAAAACAATCCAAAGTGCTTTGCTCCGAGCCCGAGCTCCTGGTGCTCCCACTCGCGTTGCTGCAGCAAGAGACCCTGAAATATTTTCTGATGAGAAATAATCTCTGAGATTTTTTTTCTCAGCAAAAAAGTCCAGGAATGACCTGTGTGCACACTAAAAGATAACTATGCACAGAACATTTTAGGAAGCGTCCTCCCAAAACTCTGGGACTGTAATTAAAATGCTGCCTCTGGTGAAGGGGCCTTGGGGGAGAGATGGCACCCTTTTCCTACACTGTGTTTTTGTTTGTTGCTGTTGTTATTGTTGTTTTTCGCATTGGGGATCAAACCCCAGACAGAGTGTATGGCAAGTACATGCTGTATCACTGAGCTGAAACCCCGGGTATTGGCAATTAAAAACAAGTAAATGGTGCATTTTTATTTATTAACGTTTCACTAATATATTTACAGCACTAACTCTTGGGAACTTTTAATTTAAAAAAAGTAAGATGAGTTTCAGAGCAATTACAGTCTCATTCTGATTTCCTCTACATGTTACTGTATTTTTAAAGCACATAGAATTGTTTCTGAACTTCTATTATTTTTGTCAACTAGGACAACAGGGCCACCAATTATAGGTGTCTCCAAGCAATAAATGGGAAGCATAGAAATAGTAAAAGAGTGAAGAAGCAGGTATGCCTAGAATGTGATGCGATTCCAGGCCCACCACTGTCTCCCTTTGGTCTTCTCATGTCTGGCCTCTTAAAGTTGTGATGACTCCGGGCTGGATCCCACTGTTGGTGACCCAAATGCCACCCCTGTCCTCCAGATCTTGCACTTGTACCATCCCTCACTGTCTAAAATCAGAATATGTGCCTCTGTCACAGTATTTCATATATAACAATTACTCCAATTAGCCCACAAGATCACATGCTCAACACTGAACAGCAATCAGGTGATGATGTATTGGTTTCACTCACTGCTCCTCTCCATTGGACAATACATTTCTCTAGCACATGTGACACATTCTGTGTCATCTAACAGAATATAAAGACTATTGAGATGGAGGAAATAGGGAAATGAAGGCTGAGGTCATGTCCTACTTTGGGGTTTTTGCAAGGGGAACAATACAATACAGGGGGCCGGGGAGAGGACTCAGTGGAATAAGTGCTTCCCTGGCAAGCGCAAAGGCTTGAGTTCAATCCCCAGTTCCACCAAAAAAAAACAATACAATACAGGACACATTTTATTTTATTTTTTAAAATATGGAACGCTTCACGAATTTGCGTGTCAATCTTGCGCAGGGGCCATACTAATCTCTATATCGTTCCAATTTTAGTATATGTGCTGCCGAAGTAAGCACAGGACACATTTTATAATATCATTTTATAATGAATCACGCAAATAATCATGTACAAAGAGTGCAGGAAATCTGTCCACACACACTAAAGATGAAAGAATCCAGCTGAGGTCCTGGGTCCCACAGCATTGTTCTGTATGAGTCTAACTGAAGACCTAGAGCTCATAATAATGCCTCCCACAAATCCAGCTGGAGGCCTAAAGCCCATGACAATGTCTCATGCAGGCTTGTTTCATGAAATCTGTGCTGGGAAGGCACAGATCAGGCTGAGGTCAGCGGCGAAAGCTAGAAAGTCTATGCCAAGTAGGAGGAAGGATCTGTGCTACCAGGCTGAGGAATCTGAACTGGAGTTAGGAAGCAACGCCCAAGGTAAGAACCAGAGCACCCTTGAAAAGTACCACAGTCATCCTCAGTGACAGTGAGGTCCTGATCCCCTCCAATGATGAGGAAAGCTGAGTTCCCAACAGGAAAGCCAGAGTGACAAGTTTGTCCAGGAGACTGAGCTGTGCACCTTCTTCCCTCAGGAGCCAGGAAGCGATGCTCAAGGTGAGGATCAGAGCTCCCTCAAAGTGAACCGTAGCCATTCTCAATGACAACAAAGTCCCAAGCTCCTACACTTGACAAAAACAGCCAAGTTCATGAGGAAAGCCAGCATGATAAGGTCCTCTAGCAGAATAGTTCAAGAGAACAAGCATCTTGCAACAGCCCCCCAGCAACTTCTCTGATCTACATAGTGAGACCCTGTAGACCCTGTCCTAAATACAGAAAAACAACAACAACTGGAGGCATGAATAAATATCCACATTCTTTTAAAAAATTATACTTTTTACTTTTTTTTCATCCAAATGAAGAAGGCTTGGTAGTCAGTGTACTTAGTATACAGCAGGTATCTTAGAGTAATACTGCCCATCATCTCAAAATAAAAGACCATAAACTGATCATTTTACTTTTTCATAAAAATATTAAACAGGTAAATGAGCCCCAGCCAGAAGTGTACTGTCACCAAGTCGAGATGAAAACACAGCTTCACTCTAGTATTATGAAGGTACAAATGTGCTGCTCTTCCGTGGTAGGAGTTCTTCCATGTCACAGCTTTCATCTCTGAGTTTCAAACTGAAACCTCAGCTTTTAATACTGCCCAGTCTGGGAGTCTTTTCTAAACCTAGAATCCAAAGCAGGAAATGTGCCACTTTTGGGGTAGGTGCTGGGGACACAGTGGTGGTCAGTATAGATTCCCAGCTCCCCAATCCCCTAGTGAGTTGTTTCTTGTGTCTACGCTCCAGTTTATTAATAGTGTCTTTCTTCCATTCTTTGTATGGCTCCTTCCTGGTCTTATATTCCTTAGATAATATTCCCTCTTTTCTTTTCCCCCCTTGCATACATACGATCCCATTTATAAAGGAAATATCCTCTTTTTTTTTTTTTATGGAACTGGGGATTGAACTCAGGCCCTTGTGTTTGCCAGGCAAGCGCTTATTCTACTCAGCCATCTCCCCGGCCCCAAGGAAATATCCTCTTAATACCTCCCCAGCACATTCCTCTTCACCAGATTAGCATCTGCTTCTTCTCTGGATTTTAGTTTAATCTGTATATCTTTTTTTTTTTAATTTTATTTATTTATTTATTTATTTATTTATTTATTTTGTGTGTGTGTGGCCAGCTCAGCCCACCAGGGGGCGGGGCTGTCTGTCATGTGGTGCTGGGGGATTGAACCGCTGTCCCTGTGCTTTGCTTAGCTTAGCTTGTTCTAAATAGGTGCTTTAGACCACTGAGCCATCTCACCAGCCCCTAATCTGTATATCTTTAGACAACCTTTTCCTTAGATTCAATAAGGTGTCTTTGTAGGATCTTTCAGTCCTATCTATGTTTCCCTGTTGACAAATATGTCAAGCCCCTTTGGAATCAGACATCTATTAGGAAAATGCTGGCTTTCCATGTTCTGCTAGCAGACTCTTGCCCATTAGAGAAGAACCTTTGCGCATTGCCTTCACTTCAGTCTCCGTGCTACACCAATGCACACCCAGCTCTGGGCCTGTTCTTGAAGCCCCCCGCCTCCCATGTAGCTGCTGCACTCTCATTTACTGCATGTCTCTGATCAAATGCAAACTTGGTCATGAGGTTTTCCTTGCCGCCTGTTAGATAACAGTTCTTCACCCTGAACATCACAATTCCCCTTTTCCTCTCCATGGCCCTTCTCTTCAAAGATAATCTTTTGTCCTTTGCATACTGCTCTGTAAAAATTTAAGTTGGATAACTGAGGCTTTCCCATTCAGTTGACATCTTTTCCCCTACTAGCTCAAATGGTATCTGGTGTGTCTTGGGTACATAAAAGATATTTGTTGAATGAAAGGATAAATTAGTGCACAATGCATAGCAAGTGACTGGGTATATCTTAGGCACCTGACAAATATTTTGGAAGAATAAATGCTCAAATGAAGATGTGTATGAGTTTTACCAAAACAGATGCAAAGTGCTTGTCTTATCTGGAGGAGTCATATAAAGTATATGAAATAACAAAAACAGCTTCAGGGCCAGCTACATAGCTCAGTGGACTAAGCGCCTGCTTTAGCAAGTTCAGGGACCAGGGTTCAATCCCTGGTCTTGCATGCTATGCCAGCCCCACCCCTCGGGCATGCTGAGCTGGCCACCAAGTCCAGGCTTGGTGGCACACTCCTATAATCCCTGCACTGGGAAGGCGGAAAACAGGAGGATCATTACAATTCTGAGCTGTGTAGTGAGACCCTGTGCCAAATACATAAAATAAAAAAAAAAAAAAGGAAAAAACAGCAATTTTGATTGTGTTCATCCAAAATATCAACCAAACTTTTTCATAGTTGCTGCTTAGATGAGGGTGCATGTGCTGAGACAGGAACTCTCTTGAGCTCTTCGTTTCCAGGACCATCTTTCTCACTGACCACCACCACCAACGTAGTTTCACTCAGCAGGCAACTTTTGTAGTTCTGCAGTTTCTTGCCAAGAAGAGAGATTAGAAATGTCCCACAGATGAGTTCAATCCCCGGTTCTGAAAAAAAATAATAAAAAAAAATTTAAAAAAAAGAAATGTCCCACAGAGAAATTAGCATCAGAGTTTACCACATGGAAACCAAACCCCGCAGCTACTTGCCAGCATTCCTCAACTCCCAGAAGAAACACAAAGTGAAAGGAGCAGAGCTCAGAGTGCAGGGTTCTACAAGTATCATTCACTTACATATGATGGCTGAGTTATGAGAGATAGTTATATTTTACAAGGCAGAGAGGTCTGTGTCTGAGAGATGAATTTTCTCTGTCTCTTTAAATGTTTTGGTCTTTTGCTTACTAGTGATCTGAAAGGAGCTACATGGTTTGTTCTGGAGCTTTGTTAGAATTTGTCCATAAATTGCCTTGGAGGATGCCATATGCAAACATAGAAAGAAACAGCATCTTTTTTTTTTTTTTAAATGTTTCTTTTATTTATTTCTTTTTTCTTTTTTTTTTTGGTCAGCTCAGCCCACCCTGGGGGCGGGGCTGGCATGGCATGTGGTGCTGGGGATTGAACCGAGTTTCCTGCATGCTTGCCTAAGCAGGTGCTTTAGACCACTGAGCTATCTCGCCAGACCAAGAAACAGCATCTTTATATTCATAGTGAGAGCTTCATTATTCTCAAGGGGACATGTGGAAGGAACAGCTGCTTTTTTTCTTGTTTAAAGTAAATCAATTTTTTTTTTTTTTTTTTTTTGTGTTTTTGGC